GTGTCATCTTGTAAACTTGTCCTGATCATTCTCGCGTCCATCCCAAAGAACTGTCTCCTAGATTTGTGCGCCACGCTTTGCTTCCTCCATTGGGTATAGATATTGGCGTGAGCGTGTTTTTGGTGACTTGCTGAAGCCAGAGAAATGCAACGAGAGGTGTGGTCATTGAGATGAGGATGTACTTGGTCGTACTTGTAGACTCTATGTGACTTATGAGTCAAACTCATGGAGAGTTAAAATTTGACATGGAGTTATTGGAATCACTGCCTCGTGGGCAAACTTCTTGAGTATTGCGAAATTTGACTTAACTTGGCTCTGGGAGAATATTTAACTCCCAGGTTTGTAGAGGACACTGCAGACAGTTGTTCAGTCTTGCCCTCCGAGACAGGCTTTATTGATTAGCGAGGACAATGAAGAAGTTTACATATTCAAGACTGAGATGTTCAGGCTTTGATTTCTAACGTTATGAATAGTAACACAATCCTACTCATATCTCACTCTCGTTGTTACTGGTTGACTCTTGTTTGAGCTCAAGTGGAGACCTGAGCGTATTGTTGAGAGTTCATGTTGTAAGACTTTTAGGAAATGAAAGGGAAAAATGGAAGATACGGAACTGCCAGCCAAGGGGCCAGATCGGTGTCACAGTGTAGTGATTCTTGATAATGTGTGGTTGGGTGGCAAGTATTCGGCCTAGGGCGAAGATATTGGTCAAGGCAATCACTGAGGCGCTTAATGTTATAAATACCCGTCAGTTGTAGCTAGATATCCCTTTCTTTTTGATACAGTTTGAGTTTAATATTATTATCCTAATTTGGCACCCTATGGGCCCATTTTTATGATATGGAAACACACTAGTCTTACTGTGGACAGTCAAGGGTACGCACGATAATGTTGGGCTCAACATTGTAAGGAAAGAGCACTGAGAGACTGGCTCGACCACTGTAGCGCAGAATACATTATTCTTCCCCTGTACGTAGTTAGTAGGATACATAGTTCACACACATACACCTGCATTTATATGTCCACTTACTCTTGTTGACATGTGATATATCTTGGAATGCCAAGAATAACTTATTAAATTCCAGCAGATGACTATGTCTTAAATGCAGGTTAAAGTTTTCTCGTATCTATTACCAATACACATGTATTTAGCTTTATATTCCTGGCCCATATATGTGTATGTACATAGATCTACATCTACATGGATCACAACTTACGATCCATGGAGATTGATAAATACTGGTCAAAAACCACAGTTGATAAGATATGCAAACACGCAATCCCATTCTTATCATCTCAGTTTTACTCTGAACCATACATCTAAATACAATTGTTTCCACTCGGATCTTCATCTCACAACCTCATACAAGACTTACTGCATCAGTCTAACTGCCGACACTGATTCTGCTAAAACCTCCATCGTCGCTCAAGCTCATAACTTTAACAACTCTTATATTATCTTTCTCCATTTATTACGTGAGTTACTCATTGCATCTCTTAGAACCCACACACGTGCTGTAGCCAGCACGTCACCTCAGGTATCACAATTATACGCCATAACGTATAACCATAATACCCATGCAGGTGTCTACAATCTGGAGTATTTACACGAGAGGAAATTTTTATGGTCACAACGTCCCCGACATTTCTGCTTTTTGTATTCAATATTCACATTTTTTCTTCGGGAAGCCCAGTTACAGTATATTGCCATCCATGTAGACCAACCACATTGTCTCTAACAGTCCCAAGCATAACTTGACCTGTTTGTTTCCCTCAGCAGCATTTCAATTGCCTTAGTAATCTAGAATTTCTCAATCCAACCATGCTTTAGGATCAACTGTGCTATCCTTTTGATGTCTCCAGGATTGTTTATTATCGCTTCGTAGGACCGATGTCTAGCCTATCTCCAGATCTCAGCTCTACAACTTGACCATTGGGGGCAGGACATGATCATCTGCTTGAGGTTTTGTGATTGGTAGCCACATGGACAAGCTGTACCTCATACTTCGGATACTTTTCTTCTGTGAAAACATGAGTTGAGCGTTATGTGCTCATTGCAAATTTACATGGCTAGACTGCTTTGGGCCCTCGTTAGGTCAGCATGCAAGAAAAAATGGTTGGTCTCGAAGACTCTGTGTTTACCATCAAGATTTTCTGCTTGAGTAAAATTTGGCCGCTCTCCAAGCTTTCGGGACCTGCAGTTGCTAGCTGCCGAGGCTTCCGAGTTTGTTTCTGCTTGGCCAAGGATTTCGCTCAGTCTCGGTATATGTCTTCTCGGGTTTTATACAATTTATTAATTTGACTATATCATCACCAACTCGGGTTCCCGTCACTCTCGGCCTCAGCCACTCACTGCGACCCACGATCACCTCCGTCTACGCTATCTAGAACGATCCCGCTTACCTTCTTGTTGTGCTGGTTCGGTTAAGTTGTTAGGAGATAGAGGAACAGAGGATGGGCTGCTGTAATATCAAAGAGTGGAAAATACAGACTGGTGCACAGACGCTGTTCATTTACTCTACAATCTCTTCACCCACCGAGTTTAGTGAATTAATCTACCAGAATAATATCGTACTTCACATCATTCATTAAATGATATAATCAATCGTCGGGATGCACATCTAGCATCACCTTCATAGATCACCATTTGATGCGCACATAGTGTCCATCGCGCCATCTCCGCGACTCACCATTGCACATAAGCCCATGCCACTATACCGACGGACAGCTGAATCACAATTTCCAACTACCTCACAGCTCATAACTACAACACTTCTGCACTACCTCGCATGCTATGCTCTCTTCTTCGCCTCGAGTCTTACGCCTAATGAACCTTTGCCTGACAGTCCACAAAAGACAAAACATGGAGACAAGAAGTTCTTTCATTAAAAAATAAAATGTGTCTACTAGTGACGAGTTATATGTAGTAGTGCAATAATAGGAACAGAACTTTAATATTACAATAAGGGCTACTCATGTCCTCAGTGTTATGAAACTGGGTTATGAGTGCATAGAGATATACCTATACTATTGGTTGATCAAGCTGGTGTGCAAGCCGGTGAGCTGTTGGGTCTATCTGTAGGTGAGTCGAGAGTGTACTAGATGAGAGATCAGAATGGTTGATTAATAAATCTATTTGTACAATTATTACTCTGTTATATACATGTCTCTATCGCTTTTTCTCACTTTAAATTACCACACCAGTCCTTCTCTAACCCCGACGGGAAATTCCCTGAATCATCTGTGTCCCTCACGAATTATGTGCCACTACATCCTAGACGTGTATTTATGACACAAAATCCCGGACACAAGATGTTTCCTAGTGTTGGCTCCTTCAATCAGCTGCATCACTCACTGACCACGTATCACTCGAGTAAATATGAATACTCATGATACGAGGCACTCCTTGGCAATGGCTCATTAACTCCGTTGCGTCGCTTGTTGTTGCGTAGTGGCAGGGCATCCAAGCTATGGGATGTATCGGGCACCACGCATCTACCTTGAGCTGACTCTTCTGCAACAGATTCATGATATTCACAACACTTTGCTGTATCAAATCTGGTTTAGTGGGACATTTCTATGGACGTCGTAACCGGACTTCCTATCTCTGCGCTGGCAAGATCATTACGTTTCTAGCTGTAACATATCGTCTGATTAAAGGAATGCTATTAATTCTAGTTTTATATAAGTTGTTTGTAGAAGCTTGTGGCTGTTGGGCGCTGATTAGACCACTCAGTGAAGCGAGGGGCAAAAGAGGAGAGTTGTTGATTTCTCCTACCTGGACATAGAGTGCTAGATAAACTGTATTCTGTAAAAAGAAAATCTAGTGATCGGTAATTACGTCAAAGCGCATTAATATTGGCCTCACAGTTAATAATGTTCGTTGTGCATGTTCTACAAGTCTCGATCTTCATCGAAATTGGAAGCACCACTTTAAGCTGGCTAGAGCTCCGAAAATTCTGCAGCATCAGTCTAGTTTGTAGTTCAAGCGTCGTTCTGATTGTAATTCCGAGGCAGAGACTGGAATTGTTGTGACTGAGGTAGTTGAATGAATTGTTTGGCAATAAAAGGGAGTTTGAAGCAGTTTGTAAACTTACAGCTGAGGCATAAACAGCTGAATACACTAAGAATTTTAAAAAAAGCTGGGGCCAAAGTAATGCCAAAGTTTTAGGGCTGTAGTTGCTATCTTTTGCTTAGGATAGTAAGATGAAAACCAAAGGGCTTGATCAGAGTCATAGAAGCCTCTGGGTGGGTATCAGCCCAGATTTATGGGTTGTGCAAAAGCTGATCCTGAACATGAGCTTTTAGCCACAGTCACTGGATATTGATAACACCTGACCCACCATGTTAATAACTCACCTTAGCTCCTTTCTATAGGCCAGATACTTGGTGTCTGGTTACACAGTGTTAGGAGCTTTCATACTCTGACATGACTTCGTCACCCTGACTAGTAGGGCCGTTCACTCAGCTTCCTTTGTCCCTTCCCATGCACCTTCATTGCAAATACCGTCAATCATATGATTAGCTATCTTCACAAGCTCAAGGCGCACTCTAAATATAACCAATACCAACATAGAAGACATGACTAGTGCTAGCTAAACAAGACGATGCTACTCCGAAATAAAAAGGACCCATTGCAAGGACCTTATGGAAGGTCAATGCTGGCTGGCTTGGCTTTGTCACAATTTTCCATGAGCAAAAGAATTCTAGAGAAATATTTCCACCCCTTCATCATTTTACCAACTAAAAAGGCCATCCTTGTGCCAACATATATTAAAAGATGTGTAAGAACTGGCTATTCTCTTAAGAATCAAGTACAGTGGTATGCATCCTTCCCTCCAAGGGTTTGTTATATCTCTCCAAATCGCTCTTGAGTCTATTCTATACTCACTCACGCCATCTCACAAACTATTCCAAAGCCTAAAATTATCAATTCCACCAGAGAAAGAGTTCCCACCAAAACGGAAGTCTCGTCTTTGATAACCAGGACGTTTTTAACCATGCGCAAGATGAAGTCCCTCCATTTCACTAAAACTACAATAATTCTAAGCTTATTTACATCATTATGTGCGACTGTGGCCGTGAACGATGGCTATAAGATGTATAAATGTCATGGTGTAGATTTTTACTCAGAGAGTGTTTTTGCTTCAGCTGCAAGAGCACACAGCCTGAATCTTGGACAAGTAAACAATTACCCACAGGAAATTGTCTTTACCAACATTGGCGGCATTCCTCCATATAGAATATTTCCTATGGTACCTGATGTCGCAGTTTACGACGGTGGTAAGATTAAATATCCATAGAAATTGATCTTTTTGATTTAAGCAATATCCAGGTCCTGTGTCTTATTTTTTTATAATTGTGGACAGAGATGGCAATCAGAAAAGTGTTGTATACTTAACTGAATTGGGTTACGTACTATGTGATTGATTATAGAGCAGATCTGGGTCTCTAACTGCAAACAACATCATGGAATAACTGTGTGTTAGCTTAGTTATCTTTTTAGAGCCTGACTACAATTGTCCCTTGGATACTACACACTAATAACAACAATCTCACCAGACTGATGATGCCTTGAACTTACTCTAGCCTCAACAACAATGACATGTTGAGGAAAAAAGCGGGAGACTCCTGTATATAGATGGTGTCTCTAATCTTTTCGAAATGTATCCACAATGTGCAATCTGTTTGAAATTCTAATTATTAAGTTTAGAACACACTCCTTGTCTGTTTTATCTGTGGTTCCCGACAAAATCGTCTCTCTATAAATACCTCAGATATGCTACTCACAGCAGTTGTTGTATATGAGTTTGGATTTTTACGTGCCACAGTGTAAATTATCTCATTATGGTTGATTAGAGGTGTCTAGTTATTACTAAGTATGTATGGGAGTAAATTGACCCTGTTGAAATAAGATATATCTTGAAATGCCAAGAATAACTTATCTGTTAGTCTGGCTAGTTAGACTATCAAAATCCCCATCCTATATCAGTGTCATCAATACATCTCCCATTGAAAGTTTAATGCGCATTAACATTTATTTCACACTAGCATTCCAGCAGATGACTAGATCTCAAATGCAGATTATAAGTTACTCGGATCTATTACCAACACATATGTAATTAGCTTTATATTCCTGGTTTATATATCTCAAGGAGCTGCGTTATTAGTATTCCGTAGGGTACGAGTTTGGTACAAGTAGGTTACAGGTGTGGAGTATGGTGATGATTCCTAAGAGTAGGAGGTATAAATTCAGCGTTAGTTATAGGGTTCACGTAAGAAGTAAAGGTAAAATAAGTAGTAGGTGAGAAAGGTACATTAACGGCGGTCTTCTTTAGAGAAGAGATAAGTAAGTGAACAATAGGTATGAGTATAAACAGAAGACGTTGCGTGAAGAAGAATACTCCTTCACGCTGGGTATATATGTACATCAGATAATAGGACAGCCCTAAGCTCTGTCTCGAACAGTATTACTATGCAATCCCTATGAAACGAACTTATGTTCCTGAGTTTGTCCTAATTGTTTGGGAACTTGATCTTATTGAAAGGCTATGCTGAGCTGGAATGACGTACCATTAGGGTGAAGGTATGGAAGGAGGTAGCTATACCTTTAAGAGAATGAAAGTTTGTGAGTTATACTCTTAGGACTTGGATCAATGGACGAACTTGAGGATGTTCCCTAGTATTCTCAAGTGTGAGAATAATATGGAGATTGTTTTAATTTCCTATTGTATGAGTTGCTTAAGTTATCTACGCGACAGGATATTCTTCTATATATATGAATAAGGGAGTTCTGCACACTAGTGGACGTTCTAACATCTGTCCTTGTCTAATTGAGAAAGTAAGGATGTGAGAGATCTTAGCGCCAATAGATACCATTAGGAATCTATTGGGAAATACTATGTCATTCCAATGAGTGATGATCTAGCTCAATCATAACCCATGGCGCATGTGCACATTATTCTAATGTGAACAGTTTATTGTAATGCAGTCATGTTACTCCCTTAATTACAACAAGTTGAACTCGTATGTAAGTTTTAAGTCTCTTGTTCCTATGATGTATTGCAAGACCCGCTTGACAGCACTTAGATGAATAATTTATGGATCCGAACTGAATTGTGAGAGATTTGAGATTGCATATGCAAGGCCAGGCCTTGTTGCAGACACAACATACATTATAGATCCGACTATTTGCTGATACAGCGTTGCGATAGCCCTAGGTTCTCCATCTGTCACTGCCATCAGTCGTTGGTTACACTTGATTGGCGTGGAGACTGAATTGCAGTCTTGCATAGAAAATCGATTGAGGACTCTATCTATGTATGCGGTTTGCGACAAGTTGATTCCAGCATCACAGTACTCAATTTGAATTCCAAGCAGCCAGTGAAGTGTTCCTATATCTTTGACCTTGAATTCGGCTTTAAGCGGGTTAACAGTTCCATTCAAGATCCCATATAAAAATACGGGTTTCATATCAATTTGTCTTGGTCTCCAATTTTTCGAGGCAGAAACTGCTAAGAATATTCTTAAAGAATCAAATTGCACGGCTGGAGCAAATGTTTCATCGTAATCTAGTCCTTGGATCTATAAGAATCCTTTTGCGACGTAACGTGCTTTACATTGTTCGATTTCCCCATATGCATCTTTTTTAATTTTGCATACCCATTTGCCACCAACAACTTTGCGACCTGCAGGACGAGGAACAACGTTCCACACATCATTTTCTTTGAGGGATGACATCTCTTCTTCAAATGCTATTTTCCAGTCTTCCCAGTTTGCTGATGCCTTAGCACCATTGTACGTTTTGGGTTCTGATACATCAATGACATTTAAAAGTGCTAATTCTTGTCTCTCATCACCACTATTGTTACCATTCGAACTTTGCAATGCAGGTTGATGAAGATCACGAGAAGTTTTCCACCACTCCCCCATTATCGTATCTTCATAAGTTCGAGGACGTTTAGTGCGTTTAGGTCTGGAATTGACATTGTTATTATGATCTTGATTAAAATGATTTTGAGAAGATGTTGAAGCAGAAGTTGAGGCAGATGGTTGAGGTTCGAGTTGAATATAAGTTGGTACTGATGACTCTTGCGATGGTTCTGACTGAGACAGATAACTAGGATCTTGATTATGAGAGAAATCTTGAATGTTTTGTCCTTCACCAACATTAGAGGAATTTTTCCAATTGTTGAACAATATTGTTGACATTATTGGAGTTTGTTGGTCAATCTTGTGTGGAGTCAAGGTTGATGTTGGATCAGCGACAGGTTGATCACCCTCGTAGGGGATAAACTTTACATCAGCCAATATAACTATCTGTTTCCTTGCAGGAACAAAAATTCGATATTGATGATCAGTTTTGGTGTATCCAACAAATATACCTTTCTCAGCATTTGGTATAAGTTTGCATCCTGATGGTCGCTTAGCCATGGGAATATGCACATAACATTCTTGACCAAATGGATGAAGGTGTAGAATGGATGGTTTTCTCGCGTGGAATGCTTCATATGGCGTCTGTCCATTAACAGCACTATGTGCCTGACGATTTTTAGTGTAGATGAAGGATTTTGCTGCTTCAGCCCATAACCGCTTATCTTTAATTGATATAAGAATTGCACGGACTCCTTCAATAACAGATTGATTTAGCCTTTCGGCTACTCCGTTTGATTCGGGAGAATAGGGAGGCGTCAGATGATGACTTATCCCCTTCTGAACCAGAAAATCGGAGAGCGTTGCATTGACATACTCACCGCTGTTGTCTGTTCTGAGTGACTTAACTTGACAATTATATTGCGTTTCTAATGCCTTAACAAATTGATAATAGCCTGAGCCGCCTCAGATTTGTGTATAAGGAATTGAATCGTGATACAGCGTGTTGCGTCATCAATAAAACTTATGTAGTATAGTGCATTGCCATACGACAGAACAGGAAACGGTCCGGCAAGATCTGAGTGAATGTATTCGCCTTTCGATGTTGATCGTGCAGCTGATGAGGCTGGCTTGTTGTGTACGGTTTTAGATGACATGCAGGAATCACAGTGAAAGTTCTTTGGGCAATTTGGAATCACACCTGAGTTTTGGATGAGCTTCTCTGTCTTGGTTATCGTCGAAGGAGATGCATGACTGAGGGCTTTATGCCAGAATTCACAGGTGGAGCAAGCTACTTTATTTTACGTGCGACTTCCCTGATCACTGGCAAGGTACTGTTGTAATGAGCTTCCAACCAGATTTTATTATTTTTATATATAATCATCACTTTGCCATTGTCATGGAGTAAGAATCCCTTTGATCTACCTTTCTTCCAAGAAAATGACGGTAAAGATAAGTTTGGCACATATAGTACATCATTAACCTTGAAAGTTGATACAGTTCCATCTGATATCTCACAGTGTAACAACACACTTCCTTTCCCTTCAATTGACATTCTCTCATTTGAACTTGACATCACATAACCGGAGCAAGGCACGAGTTGTTCGAATTGTTCTGGGTAAGGACACATGTGAGTAGTGTTGTAATTCTAACAGTCCTGCATCTGTTACACTAGTTATGTACTATCTCGTTTTCGTTTCCATTATTTGTATCATTTAATACTGCGCCACATCTATTTCCTGTAATATTAATTAGTCTTGGCGCTTAATGTAAGATATGTTGGAAATTATGGTATATGCATAATTCTGTCTTGCACTCAGCTAGCTTGGGGGTCTACTGGTGGTCAAGACATACCTTCACCATGATAACGTCGCCATACTGGGACATGGGCGCATAACCTGGCTTATTTCTAAATTCGTCTTAGTAGGAATAATTCCTGTATATATATGTAGTGTTCTTCTCCTTCAGAAATCCTCAGTTCATTACATTTACTGAATATCTCTGAAGGTCTGTAACAGCTACAAAGCCGGTATTTCCTGTAGCCAGTACTGGCAAGTACTGGCGTACAACCACCGGTGGGTGGGCCGGCGCAATAGCCTTGCAGAACATACCAGAACCATTGTCGAAGCTACTAGGAACCATATTCTTAGAGTTGCAACTGGAATTATCTAGAAATGAACTGATCTTAGATGGAAGGGCTTGGAATGTAGTAATCTATATAAATACCTGGCTAAGTATCTATAACTTAGTTCTACATAATTGAATTGTTAATGTACCATCGTCCATATAAATGCTCCCTGCTTTCTATAGTTGATCTATGACAAGGTCTATTCATACCCTCTTTGTGTCACCCTACCAAGCTTCACCCTTAAGCTCTATTCAACTGCTTCGTTGTTCGGCATATATCCTTCACCTCCCTATACCATTCCAGCATTCCTCCACAATCCATAACCTCACAACAAGCAGTTGCGCAAGTATCAAGGTAAAATAGATGACTAACCTGATCAATGCCCATAACAGTTATATTTGCCCGTTGTAAGGTTATTTCAGATTGTGTC